GCAGTGATGGGGGGGCCAGAGCCACCGAGATGCCTCTGCCCCCTCCCTTCCCCCACGGTAAAGAAACTGTGAAGCTGAAGCTGGGTCCTGGGCCCCGATGGCCAGGCTGCAGTGCGGCCCCGGCCCCGCAGCCCTCCAGGAGGGGAGATACTGGGGCTGCTGGGGGCATGCCAGCCTTGCAGGGCCAGCGGAGGCGGCTAGTGTCTCTTGGTGGAGGACACCTTCTTCTTCCTGGCGGCCAGCATCTCGTAGAAAGGGTCCCGGCTGATGGCTGCCCTGGCAGGGGGAACGAGGGCTTGGGTTAGCCATACAGCCAGGCAAAACCCGCTGCAGGGCTGGGTCTGTCCTGCCTGGCAGGGCTCGGGCAGGTCCCTTTGTGCCCCTGGGAAAGCCCGCTCCCACCCATCCTTGCAAGGTGCCCTGGGAAGCGCTGCCCTCAGACGCTGCCCCTGCCCAGCGTCCTGCCGCCCACCCCTCCAAACACTCACTTGATGCACTTGATCCACTCCTCCTTCTCCTCGGGCGTGGGGGCTGAGATGCGGTACACGGTGTGGTTCCCCTCCACCACCCGTCCATCCGCCTCTGTCTTGCAGGCCTTGATCACCTGGTCCTTGTTGTCAGGGATGTAGAGCTCAAAGCAGTTCTGGGAGGGAGGAGACGGTTCAGAGGCAGCCCTCGCTTCCCAAGGGGACCCCAAGCTGGGAGGGAGGAGGCAGAGCACCGAGGCTGCAGGTGCTCCCCTGGCATGGCCACCCCCAGCGCAGTGGAGAGGGATGAACATGCTGTGATCGTCACTCCGCAGTCCCCAGGTGTGCCCTGCCACCAGCCCAGGACACTGCGGTGACCTGGCCACCACGACTGGTGGAGGCAGCGCCTGCTCCTCCCGCCTCTGCTGGAGGCATCCCCGGGTGCTGCAGCACCTCCCAGCTCCCCACAACCGAAGCACCAGGGCTACCCCTCCTGCTGCGGCACTCACAGGCTTCTTTGAGTCCTCCACCTCGCGGATGCTCAGGTTCTCCAGGGGGATGATGCCACGAGGCTCTTTATCCTGGTGGGGCCAAGCAGAGGCGTTAGCTGCAGGCTGGACAACTCCAAACCCCATCTGCCCACCCCCGGCAGGGCTGCATGCTGCAAACACCCAGATCCCCAACACCTCGCCGCACAGGCACCTAGTGCTGCCCGGGGGCCTGAGGGCCGTGTCCCCCACCCCTATAGTCACCGGCACAGCAGGAGGCAGGATGCCAGCCCCGCGCCGGGATGCTGCCGGGATGCCTGTGCTACGCAGGCAAACAAGCGCTGGGTCGGAACCGGTGCCCTTCCCTGCCCTGGCTCAGCACACCCCGAGCAAAGGGCACTGACCGTCGTGTACTCGAAGTAGTAAAGGCAGTTGTCGGTCAAGATGAACCAACGTCGTTTCCACGTCTTCACCCTGCCTCCTGGGAGCAGAGAGGGGCAGGTTGGGCACAGCCCCGGCAGAGCGCGGCCGGGGCACGCGCCT